AGCAATGGATTGGTTGCGTAGTCAGTCCTTTATGGTGGACTGAAAAGTGGTTAAACGATGGACTTGTAGAATTCTTTTCGTACTATATTCTTGACNAGGTTAGTTTATGATATATAATTGCTACACTTTTTTTATAAGAAAAAACTTTGTGATACATTTATGAATATTTTTTGTGTGTTCATTTTAGACGTTTCCAGATTGGCGAATAATGGATACCTTCGAAGTCGTTTCTTCTCAATATGCGATTTTTTTTGACGACAATGCTGATGTTAATAGACCTATAACATCAAAAGTTCAAGAAATTAACAGTCCTCCAGAAATTGCTTCTTTATTTGATAGCTGGTCTTTTTACGGCACAAGTAAGATGTAATAATTTTGAATAAGCAATAATCTAACCAACACTCGATTCAAAGTGTTAGTAGAAATATTGTATTTGCACTTTATTTTGTGATATTTTATTTGCAAACAACACAAATTTGAAAAACAAAAGAATACTTTTTAAACTCGTCTGGAAGTAAAAATTTTTGTCACATACGCAAACACATTTTTAAAAAACAATGTTTTTTAATTTTTCACTCACGTCTTCTAACGTTAGGTCGCACAGCATCTAATTACCTGCGCATGGTACGACACATCTGTAGCAAAGATGTATTCCAAAAGGGTATTATTAAATATTTACACGCCCAGTAAGTCTTACCGCTTTTATAAAATGTATATGTATATATGAAAGCACATAGAAATATATAAAATTAAGTATAACTTTATTTGTGCAGTTATTATGTTACTATTTAATTGTTTATTGTAATTGTTTGTTTATTAATATATTATTTTACACACTGCATGTAGTCAGTTTGGCTCAGCTACTTCCGACGATTTATGGAAAGCTTTTCAAGAAGCATTAGACGAATCGGATGTCCCGCATAACGATTATAAAGTCAAAGATGTAATGGATACATGGTTAAAAAGAAGTTATTGTCCTGTGGTACGTGTGACTCGAAATTACGATAATGGCGACGTAATACTGACTCAAGAACATCTTCGCTCGAAAAGAGAAAAAAACCCTCTCGACATCAAATTGTGGCTACCCATTACTTTTGCCACAAAATCGAATCCTGATTTCTCTAANACTTTGCCCACTCATTGGTTGAAACCGCATGATCAGAATGTAACTATAAAAGGAATTGATCCAAATGACTGGATCATCGTCAACTTGCAAGCAATGGGTATGTACAGCATTTATCTATTTTGTANATTATAAACAATTGTCTTGTCAATGGAAAATCTTANGCAGTTTACTGTTACAGGATATTATCGCGTTAATTACGATTTGGACAACTGGTTAAAACTTTCCCAGTATCTCGACTCGGATGATTATGAGAAAATACACGNGCTGAATCGCGTGCAAATCATTAAAGATGCCGAGTATTTTATAAAAACGAATCAGCTCAATTTGACTACGTTTTTAGATGTCGCAAAATTTTTACGACGAGAAACATATTATATACAGTGGTGGTATCCCAACAGTACAATCAAAATTATTAAAGCCATGACAGAAGTAGGTACAACTACATTTAGTACTGATTTATACTGATGTATACTGAAAGTCTTGTTGACTAAAAGATAAAAAACTTTGGATAGTAAATCTACAAGCGTCACATGTATGCATATATATTGTTTATCTGTATATCTGTTTATGCTATTACTGTTATTATAAAAGAAAAAGTCATATTGGGAAGTATAGGGGCACTGGGTAAATACTATATAATAAAAAATATGAGCAACATATTTGTATGTTTTATTTGCCATTTCCAGTTCTTGAAAGTTTTTGTGCGCCAGAAGCAAATCCAGAGAGAAGATTTTTTTATTAGTTTGATACAAGAATCCCTATTAAACCTGATAAGATATAAACGATACAAATAAGTTTAATTATATAAAAATTTTTAACGTGGAACATAAATCNCACACTTTAACGTACATTCTACTTACACAACATATTCGAAATGATCGAAATTNTGAGCGTAAAACTGATCCACATTGAACGTGATATAAACAAGGTAAGGTGCAAAAATCAAATTATAATCAGTTAAGATAGTTATTGCGTAATATCAATAATTTGTCAAATCTTTTAAAATTTTACTAATTTCAACGACTTATTAAGCAAAAGACGTTGCTGGCGATCGTGAAATTTCTAAATGTTTGAGCGTTCAAAAGTTCAAATACTTGACATTATAAATAACATTTTTTACATGTGCTAAATGCGTACACTTTTTTAAAAAGGCACGTTTGAAACTGTAGGTGTCACACTATATTTGCGGCATAATTAAAAAATTAGAATGCATTTAATAATCGTTATTCAAATACTATAAAAACCGTTTATATTTATTGACCGTTTAGTTGTTGAACTAAACCCGCGAAAAGATTGTAATATTTTTTTTAAAAGAGCATAGTTAGATAAGTACCAATGGCAACAATGTCGTCTCACGTACAACGTACTTAGGTTTTGACACATTGTTTCCTACGATTTTCTTGCTTTTGTCATATTCACAATTGTTTTTAAGCGTTTTTTAGTATCTGTTTTGAAATTCAGATATCATTTTAGTACCTGTGTCTGACAGCTAAGCAACCTGACAGATTTAGAACAGATTAGAAGCGCGCTACGTTGTCAGATTGCCGTTCAAGGTGTAAAACGTGGACANTCGCTACTAAAAGTTTATCGCATTAGCAGAAAAAGTAAAATTGTTTAAAAAGATTTTGANCGTATAAACTTATTTATGTTTTACATTAATAAAATGTTACTAAAAAAAAGTTTGAAATAATCGTGCGACATGTGAATCACAATTTCTGAGAATACTTTTTTTTTGTAGTGTAAATTTAAACTTTTGAATAAGACTGTCGCGCAATAACTACCTTAATATACCATTCAAACAATAAACGGCGCTATTTGCAACAATAACGAATGACAATTTTATATTTAAACGTCCGAGTGAACTTGTTACATTACAGTTTCAGCGANTGCGTTCAACAGCATAAATAGAGAAGACCAGATTAACTTTGCACTTCACAAGTAAAAACACCTAAATACAGTAAGATAACTGTTAAAGGTTAATATATTATATTACGGTTAAGTTAGTTAAATGTGAGCGCTAATTTGTGACACGACGTTACACAAAAAATATTATACNTACTTTTTTTAGATTATTCGCGCAAGTATATTGCACAGCAAAAAACGACACCGTGTCAAATGTATCAGCATCAATCGGAAGCTATAATTGTCAATGTGATCTAACACTGTTGCAGTTGTTTAAAATTACAAACCGAAATAAAAATTCATTATAGTGATTTTCTTGATAATTCTGTTATACATCATCGTTACTTCAAGATAATGCCATGGCGGATTTACGGCTATTACTAAGTGTATTGATATTTACTGCTGCAACTACTTTTTCCGTTGCCGAAGATTGGGAAAATGTAACATACAATTACCGTTTACCAGACGACGTAGTGCCCGTTCACTACGACATTAAAGTAATACCACATGTTGAAGAGGGTAATTTCACTTTTGACGGTGAATCCACTATAGTTGTCAAGATACTTCGANCNACTCAAACTTTGAGTTTGCACGCGCTAGACTTGACAATCGACAGAGCCGCGACAACGTTGATCAGCAGCAATGGAAACAATTACACGCCGAAGCATCATATCTACGACACTTTGAGATCCATTCTAGCTATTCGTTTCGATAAAGAGCTACCGCCGGACATTTATCATCTAAATTTGAAATTTGTCGGTGTTTTGGCTGATAATTTTAATGGTTTCTATAGAACATCGTACTATATTAATACTATACGTGATACAAACACAACCAAATAGTAAGTAACTTTAATGTTTTTTATCAGTTTTGTTTATAAACATGTTATATATTGTTTTCACTAACAAACACATGCATGTATCTGAGAGAAATGTCATCTATTTAGCAATCATGTTGTGTCGCGACAAAAATGAAAGTTACTTAAATATTGTGTTTTGGAATATTTATAAACCGCATTTAGGCGCTATATAAATATTTTATTGTTTCTGTCGCATATATTGAAAAGTTTTTGTTATCAAAACTGTGGCGTGAAAATGTAGCAGGTGGTCCCGCAAGTGGTGGGTCGCAACTCAATTTCAGCCAACATGGGCCCGTCGAGCATTTCCTTGCTGGGACGAGCCAGCGTTGAAAGCTACCTTTAACATCTCCATAAAACACCATCGGAATTACACGGCTTTGTCGAATATGCCGATGCGAAAGCAAACGGACGACGGGAATAAAGACGGCATGATATGGACTCACTTCGAGACGACTCCAATTATGTCCACATATCTGGTTACATTTGTTGTGTCTGATTTTGTTCGTGTTTCTACCGAAAACGACGCAATCAATATGTGGAGCAGACTCAATTTTGCGTTGGATACAAAATGCATAATGCAAGAAGTTNCCGCAAAGGCCGGTCAATTTTTGACGACGTACACTAACAGCTCTAACAAAATTTCGAAATGGGATTACGTTTGGATACCGGAAAATGGGTTCGATGTTAACAACTGGAGACTCAGCACTTACAGGTAACAGAAAATATCAAATTTTACTAATTAAAATTGTCAAGTTTTCTGTGGTTTTATATAACAACAAAAATTAAATGCAATAGTTAAATTTACACAGCGTATCTATAAAAGAAAATCGCAATAATATGCTTGCATGTTTTATGAAATACTTAGGGACTTCCTCATTTTGTATAATAAAGAAACGGATGACATAAATCAGAAGCACGATGTAGCGCTAATTGTAGCAAATGCAATGGCACAGCAGTGGTTTGGTAACTTAGTCAGTCCTTTATGGTGGTCTGAAAAATGGTTAAACGATGGACTTGCGTTATTCTTTTCGTATTATATTCTTGACCAGGTTAGTTTATGATATAATTGCTACACTGTTTTTTATAAGAAGATAAACTTGTAAAACGTTTATGGATATTATTTGTTTGTGCATTCTAGGTGTTTCAAGATTGGCGAATAATGGAGCTTTTCGTCGTCAATAGTGGTCAACAAGTTGCTTTTGCTTTTGGTAGTGATGACGTTATTAAACCTATTACATCAAGAGTTCAACAAATTAACAGCCCTACAGAAATTGCTTCTTTATTATTTTCGTCGAGGTCTATTTACGGCAAAAGTAAGATTAAATAAATTCGAATAAGCTATACTCTAACCAACACTCAATTCAAAATGTTAGTAGAAATAATTTATTTGTAATTTATTTTGTAATATTTTTGTTACAAACAACACAGACTAACGAAACAAAAGAAAACTTTTTAAACGCGTGAAAGTAAAAACGTGTGTCACATACGCAAACACATTTTTAAATTTAATGTTTGTTACCTTTTTCACTCACGTCTTCTAACGTTAGGTCGCACAGTATCTACTTACCTGCGTATGATACAACATATCTGTAGCAAAGACGTATTTCGAAAGGGTATTATTAAATATTTACACGCCCAGTGAGTAGTATCGCTTTTATTTTTTTATTAAATTGTAGATGTTTACATGAAAGCACATAGAAATATATGACACTAAGTATAACGTTATTTATGCAGTTATTATGTTATTATTCAATTGTTTATTGTAATTGTTTGTTTATTCATATATTATTTCACACACTGCATGTAGTCAGTTTGGCTCTGCTACTTCCGACGATCTATGGAGAGCTTTGCAAGAAGCATTAGACGAATCGGATGTCCCGCATGACGATTATAAAGTCAAAGATGTAATGGATACATGGTTAAAAGGAAATCATTTTCCTGTGGTACGTGTGACTCGAAATTACGAGAATGGCGACGTAATACTGACTCAAGAACATTTTCGTCTTACAAACAACACCGACCACATCGACGACAACAAATGGTGGATACCCATTACTTTTGCCACAAAATCGAATCCTGATTTCTCTAACACTTTGCCCACTCACTGGTTGAAACCGCATGATCAGAATGTAACTATAAAAGGAATTGATCCAAATGATTGGATCATCGTCAACTTACAAGCAATGGGTATGTACAGCATTTATCTATTTTTTATAGTATAAAACATTGTCTCTATAGAAAATTTTATGCAGTTTTCTTGACATACATCTTACAGGATATTATCTCGTGAAGTACGATTTGGACAATTGGGTAAAAATTTCCCGGTATCTCGACTCGGATGATTATGAGAAGATACACGTGCTGAATCGTGCGCAAATCATTGATGACGCCTATCATTTTATGACGGCGAAGCAGCTCGATTTCACTACGTTTTTAAATCTCGCAAAGTATTTACGACGAGAAACAGATTTTATAGCGTGGTTTCCCATGTTTACGATATTCTCAGGAATACAGAAAGTTTTTAAAGTTCCAAGTATGTCGAGAATCAAGGTAGATATGTGCATATAAAAGTTATATTTGTTTTAACTGTCCTATAATATAAATGCTGTAACTAATATAAAAAAACGTAATGCGTTGCATTTTTGTGTTTTTTAGTTACTTTTCGTTGACATGTTGAGGAAACTTGTAGAAAGCGTAGGATACGAAGAAGATCCTGCCGACGATGACATTACGAAGCTTACCAGAACCTCAGCTTTAGAATGGGCATGCAAGTTCGGTCACGCTGAATGCAGAAGAATGGCCAATATTAAACTGAGTGAATATCTTACAGATCCCGAGACACACAAGTAAAAGTTTCTTCTAATCATAAAAACATTAATCACGCATGGTTTATTATAAAGTAGGTAGTATTTCAAAGTTTGGAAAAACAAAGATTGCCAAAGTGTATTATGTGTCAACTGGTAAATATTTATTGGTAGGAATAAAGTATAGTATTTAAAGGAAAGTAAAAAATATCAATTTTTTAGTTTAGTTTCAAATAAACATCGCACATTACATACATGTTTTTTTTTTGTAGAATTTCGCCAAATTTACAACAGTGGACGTTTACTAAGGGTGTAATAGTAGCAAATGTATCTACTTGGAATAAGATTATAGAGATGCAAAACAAAAAACCCGCTATTTGTCCTAGTGCGTTACTCTTATCTGATTGGACTCGCTCTGAAAATCCTGATGTAATAATTAGTTTCTTGAATGGATCCTTACCGGGTTATTCACGAACAGATATAATCAGAGCTATCATCGATTATAAAATATCGTACGACTTAATAGATAATGATATAATACTTGATTATTTCTTAGAAAATATAAATAACACGCCTTTAAGGTAATTATATATATACTCTTTAAGAGGGTCCTGGAGTAAGATCCGAAGTCCGCACTGGGGTCTCTGCCCGGAAAGTGGCGCCCTCAGTGGTTAAGTTATTCCGTCCTTCTTTTAAAGTGAGACGGGCAATCGCGCTGTCTATCGCGTCACCGGTCTTTCGTCGCAAGGCTCAAGCCGGCCAGCACCGAAAACACTGAAGTAGTGGGGATACGCACACAAGCGAGAACCGCCGTCCGTGTGCGCTCGTGGAAAAGTGCAGACATACTATGTTCCGTCTTCTTTCCACCACGCCGAGCTATAAGGCGAGACACGAGGCACGTTGAA